TTTTTTTTTTCCACTGAAATATTTCTTAAAGTTTGGTTTTGTTTTGTTTGTGTTTTTTTCAAATTACTGGTTTTATCTTCTGTTTGTTTTTTTGGATTCACGCATTATAATTTCCTAAGAAGCAATTAGACAAATGTACCTGAGTAGTTAGACACAGCAAGATGGGAAGATATTTTGAAAAAAAAAACCCCAAAAACCAAAAAAACCCAGTTGTTGTTCATTAACATGCAATAATAAATATTATTAGAAGGTAGTGTCTATTGTGTGGGTTAGCTTCCTGTCTTACTGTCTAGGAGTTGACTAACAATAGAGTAATCAGAGTAGTTTCTGTTAAGAACTCACACATGCATTTACAATGCAATATGATGAAAATGTCAGTTAGTTGTAAAAATAAAGGCAACTGAGTACATACAGGATGTCTTGTAGTGTCATGTGCTTTGTTACTGTTTGGGTTGAACTGAACTGGATCTGGAGCTGTTCCTGCCTTTCCCCCTTGGTACTCTGCTACTCATGGCGCTCTGTCTTGGGGAATGAGACAGGACAAAAATGATCTTCAAAACAAAAATTTAACTTGCAAAAATTTCTGTTTCCTGAGCTGACTTGGTGTGGGGATGGATGAGCATTACATCTCTTATGCAAGAGAAGGAGCAGGGATGTGCTGGGAAAAAAGGAAGGGAAAAGGGAAGGACCATGGCAGTACTGTCTTGAGCAATTTAAATTTTGTTATGATATGGCTTCTTTAGGGATTTTGATTCAGACCACATAATTACTTTCGTTTTTTGGGTTTGTTTTTGGTTTGTTTGGGTTTTATTTTTTTTTAAGCCCTTTTGTGTGGTGTTCCCAGATTAAGAATAAACAAATTAAAAGATTCTGATGTGATTTTATGAGAAAATAAGCTTTGACAAAGCATAGAAAATGTCGAGTTCAGTGCAGGGCAGGATTTACCCTGCTGAAGTCTTTGAGAATTGGTATGTTAATGTCTAAAGCTGAGCTTGCAGGTCTGGCACATGATTGCAGGGCAGAGTAAATCTTTCTTGTATAATATACAAAATTATGGGAAAACTGCAATTGGAAAACTAGAAAATATGTTATTCAAATGATCAGTTTCATATGATCTCGATTTTTGAAGCCAGGGATTGGGAATGCCCCATATGCCCCATAGAAACAAAGTCTACCACTTGGTTGTCTGTTACCAGTTCTGCGCCAGGACAAAATGCCTCGTCCTTGGAGAGCTCCTAGGCTGTTCCACAGTGAAGTCAAGCAGGGGACACAGCTCCTGCCATCCTGCATATCCATGCCCTGCATGGCCCGAGACCATTTCCACAGAGCCTGTTGCTCACTGCCTTTCAGCTGCGATCTGACACCAGGCTAACTTCTGGTTGAAAATGCTCACGTATTAAATGCAGATGCCAATTTTTGCATTCGTAAAGCTGGGCCTCTAAGGGCTCTGGAGTAAATTAACATCCCTGAGTTTTCCTGCAGGACAGATGCGCTTTTATAATTCCATAAATAGCAAAGAAATATTTATTCTCACAACTGTAGCAGGTACTCTAGAAAATCTGTTGTCATTTGTTATAGTCTGGTTTAATGCACATTTTTAATTGACATAATTTCTCTATGTGATCTGAGCAAAGGAAAGAGGAAGGAAGAAACTGCACAATTACTATTATCAGCATGTTCCAAGGCTGTTGCTTTTAAATTTAGGATTATAACTGTTATTTAACAGAATTATCCCTGACGCACATGGCCTCGAGAAGAGGTCTAAAAGCAAGGGCAGAGCAGTGTTGTCAGCTGACAGCCTGAAGCAGTATCTTTGAAAAGGTCTGAAAATGTCACTTTTTGTCTAGAAGATGACCTCTGGCATTCCCAGCCCTGCTCTGTCTCGTGGAAGAGGGGAGGAGGGACAACGCAGAGGCAAAATCTGTTATGTAAAGTCAGGTTGCTTGTGGTGGCCCTTAAAGAAGTACTCCTCCTGAGCAGGCATTAAATGTGGTGGTTGGTAAATTGAAGTGTTGGATCTGCTGGAGCGGCAGTGGTCCTTCACCAGGACTGAGAGCTGTGTGCATTGTCCTTGCTGCGTGCTTGGGGAGGGACAGGTAGGCTCCTGGCTGCGTACTTGGAGCACCTCCAAAAAAGGGCAGTTTGGGCTAGGTGTGGCTGATCATGGTGGTAGACAGTGTGAGGTGTCCTGGAGTCAATCCACTGCCTTGGCTTCTGACAGAATGACATAAATTTTTCTTCATTTCCAGATGGAACTTCCTGTGTTCCAGTTTGTGCCTGTTGCCCCTTGTCTTGTCTCTGGGCGCCACTGAAAACAGTCTGGCCCCATCCTCTTGACACCTACACTTTAAATATCTATAAGCATTGATAATATCCACTCTGTCTTCTCTTCTTCAGGCTAAACAGACCCAGGTCTCTCAGCCTTTCCTTGTAAGAGAGATGCTCCAATTCACTAATCATCTTTGTGGCCCTCCACTGGACTCTCTCCAGTAGTTCCTCATCTTTCTTGAATTGGGGAGCCCAGAACTGGACACAGTATTCCAGATGTAGCCTCACTAGGGCAGAGTAGAGAGGGAGGACAACTTCACTCAGTCTGCTGGCCACACTTTTCTTAGTGCACCCCAGGATACCATTGGCCTTCTTGGTCATGAGGGCACATTGCTGGCTCATGGTTAACCTGCTCCACCAGGACTCCCAGGTCCTTCTCCACAGAGCTGCTTTCCAGGAGGTCAACCCCCAACCTCAACTGTGCCTGGAATTATTCATCCATAGGTGCAGGATGCTCTCTACACATGGATGTCCTCTGCTCTTACCCCAGAGCTGCTGTGCTGGGTTCCCTGAGGCAGTTTCCCAAAGCAGTATTTATTTGTGGTGCACCTCTTTATGCAAAACACATTTTTGTAGTGATATGTTTTGTTGTAAAAGTTCTCGGCTATTTGTGCAAAATGACATGTGAAAGTAGCTATAGATGCATACAGTACCATTTGTAGTCACAGAAGATTGTATCATAATAACCTCAAAACCTCTCCTAAGTGTTCTGCCTGCCCACTTTAGCTTTCTTCTTCTGTTATTTTCCATATTGAGTTTGAAACACCTAGTTTTATGCAAAAAAGTCTCTGCCAGAATCTGAAAACTACTATGAGCTTAATTTTCACCTTAAAAATCCCTACTCTAGGAGAAAAAACTTTGTTTTTTACAAAAAAAAAAAAAAAAGTTTACTTCACTCAGTTTCAGTGTTGTATGCTTAAGGAAAAGTCTTACTTGAATTAATATATGATGTGATAAATTCCCTTCCTAAAATTTTGTATATTTTTTTTTTTTAGTATGTCTTGATCATAAGCGTGCAGGTAACAATAGAGATAGACTGAACAGACATGGAATTGACATTACATGAAGTATTGTTATATAAAGAATGAAATATATTCATTAGAAATGTAACATGGTTTTTGCATTAACTACTGTCACTCCTAAAACAGTTATGGCCACTGTTATTTCTGTATTGAGTATTTCATAGTTCTAATGCAGACAACATGAATTTAATTAAGCATTGAATTAAATATGTTTAATATCGAGAATGTTCTCAAGTCAGTATTTGCTGTGGCTTCTTGCTAAATCAACGTTATAATCCTGCTTTTGTTTTCTGATGAAATATGCCTGGGATAATTATAAGCGTTACGCATGGGGATTAAATGAACTGAAACCCATATCTAAGCAAGGACATTCAAGCAATTTATTTGGTAAGTAGAGTGTATTTTTGTGCTTAGTGACGTTAGCATAAAACAGTAAATCAGCTGAAAAGCTTATAGGTGATAAACACGTGTTCTTTCTACCCTCTGTCATGCAGCATAGTGTTTCTTGCTTATGCTATGTATAGAAAATAATAGTAAATGAAGGTGATGCTTTCTATGACTTTCATAGATTCCCTTCTGAATGGGCATAAATGAAGCACGTCATTGCTGCATGATAAAGACGTAGTTTTGTTGCGTGAAATACTGCCCTGCCTTAAACTTCTTCTGTGAAGTGGAACTCATTGACGTCACATTCAATAAGCAGGAAACCAAAACTCTGGGTTTTCTGGTTGTAAAGGGTAAAATCCTTTACAACGAACAAAAGATACTCCCTACAGTCATGAAGGTAGCTGAAGCTGTCTACAGTTCTCAGAAATTTGTTTCCATTCCTTAAAAAAGCTTGTTAATCTATATCAGCCATGCTCCCTTATCAGGCTTTCTGTTTCATGAATATAACCATTATTTGCACCTCTAAATGTTGCAGAGGAGGTGCTTAAATAACGCCCAAATTGTTATCAGTGTAGAACAAATATGAGGCTGAAAAGTTCTAGCAGGAGAGGCACACTGCAGAAATGTAATGTAGTGAGGCAAGACTACTTCAGTGTCCAGGTGGGATGCAGGGCTGGATAAATAGCAGCTGAAGAGCAACAGCCTTCTGAGGAAGCATGAGAAAGCAGTTCTATGAACTGTCACCATCTTCAGTTTTACAGTAAAATAAAGAATTAAACTGTTTGGCAGCAATGTGTGTATCCAAATAGCTTCTGCTTTCCAAACAGAAAGCTGAAAAATTAGCTAATTGCTATAGCTGAAACAAAATCAGTACATTATTTTGATTTTAACAGGAACTTATTTTCTTGAATGTTTGAAAAAGATAGTTTGAAGTGGAAAGTTTCTAAACCAGCCCAAATAGAGCACTTATCAAATCCTCAACTGTATTTGGAAGTTGCTAAGAGACAGCAGTTGTGATTACAAAAATAATTTTGAAAATACAGCATCTTTATTGATCCTGCTGCACTGCTTGTCTACTCAAGGTAACATAAAAATATCACTAGGAAGTTGTTATATAGTTAATTTTTGGACTTTAAACATAAATTGGGTGTTTGAAACCAAAGCAGTTCAGGTGAACTTCACAGTTAACTTGCACTTCTGTTTTCTTGAAAACCAAGGTTTTTTTAATTATCTTAATTAGGATGACTGATAGTTGTGCAATTTAATATCACATTTGAAGAACTGTTTAATGCAACCCTGTTTTATTTGTTTTCATGGACGACAACAAAATGGCACGTGATGTCTTGAAAATTAAAATGCTTAATCTGGTTTCATTGGAATCAGAAGTGTCATAAAAATTTATGAGGTTTGAGTTCTTAATGATATTGCATGGATTCACAGAAAAAACAGTAGATGTACTGACTTGTGAAATTCTTAAGCAGGAGTTCTGTGAATGTTGCATAAGAATAAGTCACTGCAGGCACTATTTAGTGTGATACAGGACAAGTGTTGAATTTGAAAACAAAACTGCCAGAGTCAGTCTAAAGGCAGATCACTTTCTCATCACGGTCATCGAGTATAAAATCTTATTGCTGAGGAGCTTTCCTTAGGAACATTTTCACTCTTATTGATCTTGGTGGCAAATCAAAATAAGCACTGGGTCTCCTTCTGCTGAATTGCTTTACAGAATACACGAGCAGCATATCTGCAAGCAGTTCTGTCTCATAAGCTACCCTTTCCTGAATCCATAATCTCCTTTTGTTTTATTAGAAAAAGTCCTTGTTTCTGTAATAGTGTCCCCAAGTTACATGATCTGTACCTTCATTTTTTAATTCAACATATGCTGCCTTTTTCATAAAGCAGTAAAAGGATGATCTGGTTTTGGGGTTTTTGGGGGGTGAGGGGAGTCAAATAGTTGAACATCATTTTCCCCATGAAAGGACAAACAAGTTTCCTTATCTTTGTTTCTGGTTCTTACTTAAAGAACAAAAACAAAGACATGAAACATTGATTGCAAGTGGTTGACTACTTTTAAGGTAATTCTGAATGAAATTAGTTGAGAATAGGTCACCCCTGTCTCCGTGTCCTGTGAATCTCCTTGCAACCTTCAGAAATCAAGTAAGATCTTCAGCTCCCTGTCATCCATCGTAACTATCTCCAGTTTGCCCTGATCATCTTTTCTACTTGCTTCCAGGTCTCAATTTTTCAAAAATACAAGTTTCTGATTGTCTTACTAGCAGTAAGATATAGCATATTTCATTAGCCAGCTGTTTTGAACACTTCTCCTCCTTTGAATTAGCTGGTGCCATTATGGTACTTTGCATATATTGGGAGTGTCTGTTATGGGATAGAGACTTTTTAAGCACTTAACTGTGGGGAACAGCAAGTTCCAGTGCTGTGGCTCACTGGTGCTTAATGTTGTGTAGCTTACAGACAGTATAGCTCTCCTGATACAGAAAGGGAGAGTTGTTTTCAAATGATATTGCTTCTAAGCTTAATTTTGAAAATATGAATGTTTCAGGCCTTGCTATCATGATAAGTCATTTTGTAGATAGATATCATGGCAGTTGCCTTGATATCTATCTTGATATGCCTAGATATCATGTCTTGTCTTCAAGACACAACTGTCATATCTCTCTGAAACACAAAAATAAGGTGGGCTTTTAAGAAGTGTAATTACACATAGATGTGACTGTTAAGCAATACCATAATGAATTTGGCAACTAAACTGACACTATAAGTCAATGGGGCCTGATGGGATCCATCCGAGGGTACTTAAAGAGCTGGCAGATGTCATAGCGAGACCTCTCTCAATGATCTTTCAATGCTCTTGGGAATCTGAAAAGGTCTCAGTTGACTGGAAGCTGGCAAATGTTGTCCCAATCTTCAAGAAGGGCAACAGGAATGACCTCAGTAACTACAGGCCCGTAAGTCTCACTTTTGTGCCTGTCAGAATTATGGAGTTGTTGAAAAACACCTGGAAGACAATGCAGTCATTGGTTCCAGCCAACATGGGTTCTTGAGAGGAAAGTCCTGCTTGAGAAACCTAATTTCTTTCTATTATAACGTTACCCACCTAGTTGACCAAGGGAAGCCAGTCAATGTAATCTTTTTGGACTTCCATAAAGCCTTCGATACCATCTCTCACAGTATCCTCCTGGACAAAATATTCAACGTGCAGCTGAACACACACACGCTGCTATGGGTGAGCAATTGGCTGACGGGTTGAGCTCAAAGGGTTCTAGTCAATGGGGTTACACCGGGCTGGCAACTGGTCACTAGTGGAGTCCTGCAGGGATCCGTCCTGGGGCCGGTGATCTTTAATGTCTTAATTAATGACTTGGATACCAGACTTGAAGGACTGCTAACAAAGTTTGCCAGTGACACCAAATTGGGAGGAGCTGTGGACACTCTCGAGGGCAGAGACGCCCTGCAGAGAGATCTAGATAAATTAGAGAGCTGGGCAATCACCATTCATGTGAATTTTAACAAGGGCAAGTGCTGGATTTTGCACCTGCGACATGGCAACCCTGGATGCACATACAGACTGGGGAACGAGAGGCTGGAGAGCAGCCCTGCAGAGATGGACTTGGGAGTTCTATGTTTCTATGTTGTTAGGCTAGGGGAAGAGGAATATGGCCAGTGGGATGATGATAGGAGAAAGGCAGGTGATGATGGGAGAAAGGATAGTGAGGACTGGTGGTTCTGACCTCAGGGGAAGAGAAAGCATCCTGCTTTAGCATCTCAGAAATTAATCTCTAGAAATTAAGAGTAGCAGAGCTCTTCTGTAGCAGAGGACTTCTTGACAAACTTTGAAATGACTTTTTTTTTTTTGTCCTAAACCCAGGCTATGAAACCAACTTTTGAAGACAAAGACTTGTCTTGATCTTGCTGGCATTCTGTGAACAGCGTGTGTGGAGGGTGTATTTGATAAGTGGAGGGAGTCTTAGACCCGTAGACTGTAGACATATTCATGTTATGAGCATAAATTGCTTCATCTTACAAGTGTACACTAAAAATAATAATATTTTAGAAAAAGGATGAAATATATGTAAACTGAAATATTTCTATTTCAAGCCAAAGCTGCATACTTGCCTCTGACCATTGCAAAATCTTTTCAGCCATGTAATGTTTTGATTTCCTTTGATTTGTCACTTCAGCTTTTACCATGTTGTCTTGGCAAGTAACGAACATTATTGTGGGGTTTTTATGGTTTACTCCAACTACAAAGAATTCAGTTACAATAACAACTATTTGAAAAGGCAAAAGTGGAAAGTCATCAGTTGTTGTCTCTGTAGCATTCTTATTAGCTTAATTCCATGAAGTGTACAACTATTTCTAGACTCGTCAAGTAAATTGGAATAGCTAAACAACTGTGTGCACCATACCTGTGCATCAGCAAAACAAGGCCCATCTCCTATGCTGGTCTGACTTTTGCTATGAGTACTAGCTATTCTCTGCCCATACCTGGTAGAAAGTAGGTAGCATCCAGAATAAATATGGTAAACTTCTAATATTCTACCCTTTAAGGTTTCAGATTACAGTTAACAGTAGTTGCTAAAATAGAGCTTTATCCATCTACCCTCCTAGTGTGGAAGAAAGTGGCATAATTGCAATTTTGCCAATTTTTTTGCAGTACCTCACCACCTGCACCACCACCTTCCCCAACCGAGGAGCTATTCGTCTCCAAGCATTCTGTACTAATTTTAAAACTAATGAACATTGCTGCACTGGTGGAGAGCTCTTTCTGGAAGTGTTTTTTGCATTTAAGTGAGTGTTACTAAAAGGCTTTTTTAATTATCAGTAACCGTATTTCATGTGTAGTATTGCAAGTTTAATAATACTGTAACTTGTGGGCACGGTATAATTAGTCTCCACAAGTGAAAAAGGACCTTTTCTGTAGGGGAAAAGGAAGGCATTTAATAAATACTCACGATATGCAGTGCCAAAGTACTGTAATT